TGCCCCCATCCCCGTGTGTCACAAGGACCCACTTGCACGCAGCCAAAAGGCAAAGAGGTAAAGAAAGGGAGGAGGAAACCAAACCTGACAGGGAAAGAAAGATAGGGAAAGAAACTGCGCCTCAGCAGGTATTTACTATTAGTAAAAGAGCGAGGTAGTGACGGAGTAAAAAAAAAAAAAAAAAAGGTAGTGACGGAGTAGTAACAGGGAGGTCGTGAGAGGGAGGCAATGAGAGGGACGTAGTAAGAGGGAGGTAGCAGCTGCCTCACTCACCTTCGGTATTGTTGATCAACTTGGCCGGACCCTCGGCCATGACGATGGATGTCGTCCTCTCCTCTCTCTCTCACTGCCTCCTCACCACGCTCTTCTCTCAGACGCACACGAGTTCCCCGCCTTCGTAGACCGATCCCCGCCCTCACTACGAGGTGCGCACGTCCGCCAATCAACAATCGCCACGTGGACCGATCACAGATCGCTCCCAATCGCCACGTCGCCAATCGCGGCCCGGGATCGCCAATGGCGATCAACAATGTGCCACGTCACCAATCACGGATCGCCAATCGCGACATCGACGAGAAAGAACATCAGGTAGCCGACCTTGCGAGCAGCCAACCTCTGAACCAATGACCCATCCCGATCGCCTCGTGCCATGCGCCGCGTGGAAACCCCTCGACCTCAGCCCGATGGCCGATCAAAGATAAACCAATAATAACCAATGGGCTGATTTCATTCGCAACTGGGGGCCAACTGGGGGCCACACCCTTTGCTACCGTAGTGATTCCGTTCTTCCCCCCCCTTCTCCCGAAGCATCGATATCCCCCCCCCACGTTAACTGTAGTGATTCCGTTCTTCCCCCCCCTTCTCCCGAAGCATCAATATCCCCCCCCACCTTCACTGTTCTCTATCTCACAAACACACTCGACAACCCACCCCCTCTCCAGGCCAACCTTCCTTTCACCTTCGTAGCACGGACGCCTGCGCACAAACGAGACCGTAAAAAATAACCGCGCTGCTCGCGCCTTTCGCGCCTTTCGCGCCCTTCGCGTAGGTGCGGAGTGAATTCTGCCGCGGAATCACTACCGCGAAATCACTACCGCTGGCGCCGTTGGGCTGGTGCGCCTGAATTCTGCCGCGAAGACCACACAGCGTAAGTGAAACGCAAACTCTCGCAGTCCCGCCCTATTCCCTCTCACTTCTGGTCTCTCTCTCTCTTTCTCTCTCTCTCCACGAGCTTTATCGATCAAACACCCGGTCTTACTTTTGGCCAGGTTCAACCCTCAGTGAACAAGGGAGTAGTGCGCTAACACGGAGAGCGTGGCGACTACCCGGGAACGAAAAGGTTGCACTTATTGCTACCTTCGAACGGTGGACCGAGGGTGACGAAACAGCATTATCCCGGACGACCACGCGAGAATGGCGGGCAGCACTTCTTCAGTGCCCATAAAAAAAAAAAAAAAAAAAAAACAGAGAACGTATCCAAATGAATCTTCCGCTAAAAAACGGAAGGATTCATCTTTGCACCACTTTTCTCTGTGCGCAGCCTCTACACACCGTGAAACCAAGTCTGCTGCCCACCCCCGAATCCGCACTCACCAACGAACTTGCCCTACACCAAAGCCCAGTCTAATCCTCTACCCCACCCGTTTTCACTGTGAATCGAGTGAAATCTTCTCTTACCAGTCCTGCCATATCTACTCTATGGGTACCCCCGCGCATTTCATTTTCTTACTAACTTCTAATCCACCAACCTATAGTCAAAACTAACATTACCACTACGTTCGCCTGACCCAAGAACCCCAGAATCCCATCTTAGTTTAGTGAGAACGGTGGAGAAACGCCCGAGTAACTCAAACTTTCGCCCTTTCCCTTTCTTCTTCGTTCCTTCCGGACATATCCGCGCACTCCACTCTTTACTAATCTCCCAACCTAATGACTTTCATACTCATCTGACATCCCCACTGGATTCGCCCTCCCGAAAAAAACAGTCTACCATCTCCTCCTACGTGATTCCGTTATGGATTAGGTGAGGTAAGTGCTTTCTCATCCTACCTCTCCCTCTGCCATGTCTCTGCGCATTCGTTTTCTGTCATATCTCCTCAAACACCCTTCCTATGGCCAATCTGACTTCACCAATGGATTCGCCCAGGGCCAAAACGTTGAAAAGGAGCCTTCATTCGCCCGTTTCCGTTGAGAAACGAGCCCGAAATCGCCCTCTCCCGCCATAGTTCATTGCTCCCCCGTTGCTGCGTTCTTCCTACCCCGCATGTACCTTGCACCAGATGACATCCAGGTTCACTCTCTTCTCTCTACTGCTGCTTCGCTGCCTCTGCGCCTTGCCCCTGTCGATGCTCTGCTGTGTGCTAACCCCCCACATCACCGGCGGTGTTAGAGCGATACAGGCAGCAGGCCAGCGGTCAAAAATAAGTCAAAATCTGCTAAACTATGTGTGACACCTCCCCCCCCCTTTTTTCGCTGCGCCCCAGCCTACCATCTCACCATCTTCATTTTTCCTTTTCTCGAATGTACCTGGGGCAACTTTCCGCCTGGGTCCATTCCTCCCATTCCTTATTCTTGTCGCTGCATCCTCCTCCCCGCCCGTTGCCTTTCACTCCCGGTCGCACTTCGCACGGACGACCGTCCAAAAACCCGTTCTCCTTTCCCGCTCTCGCACCTTGCCTCTCTTCGTCGTGTCATCCCGACAGCTGCTGGCGCAACCCGGCATGCCCGTCCGCTCCGCTGTCTGACGCCTGCTGCTGCTAATGCAGCGCCCATCCGTCACTTTGGCCCGCCTCCTAGGGACATGTCGTTGCCCCGTCCCCCCTTGAGTGGCCCTGAGCAGAGACCAATGACGTTCATAGGGGGAGGGAACCGAAGGGGAGGCACAGTGACTGGCCCATCGAACAAGCTCGGTCCTGATGCTACCGGCTGACCCCTGGCCGGTATCGCCCACCTGCTATAGCAGGTATCGCACCTGTTGGTGCGTGCAGCTCCCACATGTTCCTTTGTTGGAGGCTTGAGCATTTGTTGGAGGCTTGAGCACGGATGGTGCTGCTGCGGGGCTGCTGCCCTGATGCCCCTGGCCCACTGGGCCGGGCGTATCCCACTATCCCGCGGGTCCCCACGCAGACCTTGATGGTAGTAGCAAATATTCAAATGAGAGGCTTCGGGGAGAAGTAAAACTTGTCCCATGGGAACAGCTGTTGGGACAGCCCTGCCGCACAACCAAAACTGCGGCAGCCTCCCACCGGTGCCCCCGCCCAGACATAGGTCACCATCTATCATGTCCCGGTGGACATGCCTACACTCAACCCCTTTCATGGCAGACCATGAGCGGCGGGCGACGCACCCGCAATAGTGTCGTCCCCGTCAGGCAATGTCTTTCGCTTGGATCGGACAGGCCACAAAAGCCGGTACCTTAGACTGAAAGGTAGGGGCAAAGCCCCGGTGCGAAAACAAGTGAAATAATATTTTAAAATTAATGGTATTGGCCTACACCGTAAAGCTCCCGGCTTCCCCAACCGCTTGACTGCAGCGGGGTTTTGAACTTAGCCCTGTACTTCGCAGGCCCACCGGTGTTCCAATCGGACTAAACCGTCAGCTCCGCCACGGGTCTCGGAACCGACACTTTTTTTTCTTTTTTTTTTTCCCAAAAACAACACACCCCTGCAGTGCTAGTTATGCCAGTTCGAACGAACAGACATCACTAGCACCCGGGGGGAGGCTCCATCTATTGGTGGGGAGTGTCACCTGCTGGAAAACGGGTCCAGCGTCCCACATGCAAAAAGGAGTAGAGAATAGAAGCTAGTTGAAAAAAGCCTGCCAGCATTGATTGCTCTGGCCTCCAGAGGATTGACTAAGCAGGCTGATCAGGAAACGGAGAGAACCTCTTCGCCCTGGCACCAGGCGCCAGATAGCTACAGCTAAAATCCTATTTCCTCCTTTCCCACCATTAAGTAAAACATTATTCATGGTGGCTTCCAAACTCTACCAGGAGGTCTGATAGACTAAAACAACCACCTATCCCTTGAGAGTAAAGCACTGACAGAATCAGACAGCAGAGACAGCGACTGACCCGGATCCTGAGACCGAGGTACTGTGGAGAGAGCAGGGGCGGAAGCTGACCGCTGTTCACTAGTCTCTCTGAGCTCCTTCTTCCTGCCCATACCACTGTAGCTCTACAATTGATGTGGCTGCAGTCCGTTGGGTTTCTCATCGGGATTTCTTGGCCGATCTGCATCCATTCATGGAACTGAAGCTTGCTGTTCTTGGAGAACCCGTTGTCGTCCCTTCCTTCCTCTCTGTCCCCGTGGCCAATGATGTGTGCCAATCTGCCACCCTTCTCCCCTCCCAGCCAATCTGCGCTGAATTTGCTGATAATTCTTGTGATGTCTGCCTGCTGCGTTAGGTGAGCTATCTTTTCCTGTACTTCGTTCCATTGCACCCTTATTTCCGTTTCTATAAATTGTCTAACTGTCTCTCCTGCTTCCCCGTCTCCCATTCTGGCCCCTTCCTGGTCATACACGCATCTCCTTATCCAAAGCATCCATACCACAACTTTTCGGGCGATCTCAAATAGGTTTGTGGCGTAGTTGGAGGGGAGAGGCCTTCCCCATTCCCCTAATAGAATCGTTTTCCAGTTCCAGGGCCATTCCTCTCCAGTTCCGACTTGTGACCAAATACGGTCCCACCAACGCCACGCTAAGATCACCCCTGGGCACTGGAGGAAGATGTGTTCGATTGTTTCGCAGATTTTGCGACTCGGAAATCCTGACAGGCAGAACTTGCACCATGGTAGGGCCTCCCCTTTCTGTTCCAGATTCGTCCTGTCAATTATCCAATTGTTGGTGGGGAGGCATCTGTGGATAATTTGCCATTGCAGGGCAGCGAATTTAGTCGGCCTTTCCCTTATTCCTTTGAACCATTTGATTCCTTTCATCTGATCGTCCCCTAGATTTAAGTGTTTCTTCCATCTTTCCTTCACCACTGTCCTCACATCCACTCTGGGTCTAATCATCCTGTATGTGCTTTTCACAGTTAGGGTGGAAAGTTGTATCTTTTGCCCTGTCCGACCTCCCACCCATTGCCATTCTAGCGGGTCTAGGGTCAGCGTGGATAGGGGAACTTCCGGACGGTAGACTTGCCATACTATGTTTCCCCTTTGATGTGTTTGCAGTACGCGTATACGGTAGAGGTTGACGTTTTCGTGCCATTGGACTGAATCTGGGTGGTAGCAAGCCAGGGTGTCATCCTCCTTTCTTTTAAACAGGTTTACCAGGGCGCGATCTTTTCCGGCCTGCACGACGCATCCTATTTCGAGAGGTGAGTCCTCCACAGTAACTGCCACCCAGTCCTGCTCCTGCAGCGCCTGGCCTTTCCTTATCTCGGACACTTATCAAAGGCTAAAAGTTTGAAGCAATCAATAAAAATAAACATTTCAAAAAAAATAAAAATCAAGAAACTGTGGCGATAGACAAGGGAGGGCCTTGCCGTTGGACTATGACACCACGTCCCCCCCTGACTCCGGATGTCCTCACTTTGACGTCACCACATCGCGCACGCTGCTCTCATGCGGGCGTGGACTTATCTTCTCCTCACATTTGCGCCATCAACCATCGCCGAGGCCGCGTTGCGTGCTGCTTATAAAGAGCACGCCAAATACCCTTGTAAGGGTATTTGGTACGACAACGCACTTGTGAAAGCAAGATGGAAAGAGACGAACGCCCTTGAGGGTACGACAAGCATTAGTCCATCCCGACCTTACCCCCACTCACCAAATTTCGAAGCCAAGTCGATGGCGCAGCCGAGGACTGTCGAAAGCATCGGAGTAGCAGGAGGTTGTGCGGGGATTCAACAACTTTCGACAGAAGGTGTCAAGAAGCATTCTCTGACAACTGACCAATTTTATTCTCGTCTGTCGGCGCGAATACCCTTACAAGGGTACCCGCCCTGGTTCTTGCAAGCGACAGAAAATAGTTCTGGTTCAAAGTTTAAGTATACCGCGCTAGGCGCAACCACGTCTGTAATTTACGTTGACTGGATGGTTGACTAGAGTAAAGAGTGCGTGGGCGCGCGGGTTTAAGGCACGCGTGATCCGCCCCCCGGAGGTTGATTACGAAACCGGCGTGGGCGTCGGTCTGCGTTATTTTATTTTTATCGTTAAGTTTTTATTTTTGGTTACTCTCGATCAAACCAGGATCTAGGGGATATTTTTCTCTTCGATGGCTACGTTTGACCAAGTCGGGCGCGCGTGCAGAGAATGACCCCGGCAACGGCATCGGCAATGGCGGCGCGGCTTCGTGCGGTGAGCGGGGTGTCGCAAGATGGCGCGTGGGGCAACTAAAGCACGGTATGAGCAAGTCGGCGCGGGCACTGGGAGCCGCACAGCCGGTTTGGTGGCCCAAAACGCCGCGCCGCACTGCCTTGTATGGTCTGCGGGCGTTGGTCCCAGGCTTAGGCATAGCCCTATAGGTTACGACAGCGGACTGTTACTATGGGGGTTCAAGGATCGAGGCCAGTGGGCATCGGCGCAGCAATTGCAGCAGAGCGTCATGAAAGGAACCGATGGGGTCGAGGGCCATTAGGGCTATCCCCCTCGATTTTGTTTGCGGGCGCGGCAGCGGGCCCGGCCCGCGCGTTGACGCGAGGCTGCGGTAGGAGCGCGTTGGGGTGTGTCGCATTTGCGGGGTCGCCTGAAGTGCAATTGTAAACGGTGTTCGTAGTCACGCCGGAACCTCGCCCGACACCGTTGCCTGGGATGCGGTGTTGTGGGTGTGGTAGGCACCTAAGAGCCTAGCTCAGAGGATACACCCCTGAACTGCTGAAACGCTAACTAAGGCGGACCTGGTACGAATCCAGGTTGGGTATGTGCGGAGGGGAAAGGCTGAGGCCGCGTGGCCTTTGGGGGAGCCACGGGGCGTGGCCCGGTCGGAGTCCCTCGGGACATCCGTTAAAATTGGAGCGATACAGAGAAAGTTAGCATGGCCTGGCGCAAGGATGGTATGCGTAGGTCGGGGAAGGGCCCGACAGTCAAGCATTTTTTATATATATATAACACCTGAGTGTTATCGGGCCGTGCTGTTCTCGGGCGGCTCCCTATTAGCCGATGG